TACACACAAAGTGGTCAACTGCTTATTAGCGCAAGATGGTGATGATGGGAAAGAAAGGGCGATTTATTATTTGAGCAAGACTCTCGCGGGACCTGAACTAAATTATACTATGCTAGAAAAGATGTGTTACTCATTAGTATTTGCATGCACCAAGCTTGAGCATTATATGCTGCCTAGAAAAATAGAAGTCGTTTCAAAGGTAGATCTTATCAAATTAATTTTGCAACGACCTACCATGCAGGGCAGACTTATGAAATGGGCTATCAAGTTGGCCCCTTTTGATTTGCAACATTCTCCGTTAAAGGCAGTTAAGGGACAAGCAATAGCAGATTTTTTGGCAGAATTCTCATAGGTCGGGTGCACATCTTATGTGAGTACCCGAACTTGGTCAATATTTTTTTATGGTTCTACTTTTGGAAATGGATCGGGTGCAGGAGTCTTGTTAAAAGGACCAGATGGCCAAAATATCAAATTACAACTGCAATTAGAAGCTATGACCCATAATTCGGCAGAATATGAGGCTTTAATCTTGGGATTGGAAGCTTTAATAGCCAAGAATGTTCAGTCGGTAATCATAAGAGGAGATTCTCAGTTGGTAATCAATCAGGTAATGAAACAATATGTTTGCAATTATCCTCATATAAGCAGATATAGGGATATTGTATATCGTTTGTTATCAAGAATATCAGAGGTGATAATCGAGTTCATCCCTAGGATGGAAAACCAACTTGCAGATGAGTTAGCTCAGAAAGCTTGTAAAGGAATCCCAAATGAGATTTGTGCAGAAGATGAGTCGGAAACAAAAGATGGGACCGATTAGAGGGCTGAAATTATCATGTATCTGCAAAATTCATGAGCGAATGTGCTGATAGGGATACGGTTAAAGGCACTACGATTCCAATTGATAGGAGGAGTCTTATACAAAAGGACGTTCGACGGATTACTTTTGAGATGTTTAGGGTCTAAACAGGCTTTGGAAATCATGACAGAAGCACACAGTGGGATCTGTGGAGCTCATCGAGTAGGTTTGAATATGAGATGGCCTATTCATCGTTTGGGTTTCTTTTGGCCAAAGATCTTCGAAGATTGTATACAATTTGAAAAAGGTTGCCAAGAATGTCAAAAACATGGCCAACTGAATCACTTGTCAGTTACTGAGTTGCAAGCTATGGTAAAACCATGGCATTTCAAGTCCTGGGCCATGGACATTATTGGAAAAATTCATCCCCCTTCATCCAAACATCATTGTTTTATTTTGGTTGCAACAGACTATTTCACAAAATGGGTCGAGGCATTTGCTTTGAAAAATGTGGATCAAAAGGAGGTGATTGATTTTGTGTTGAATCAAATTATTTATAGGTATGGTATTCCTCATTCCATAACCACCGACTAAGGTTTGGTTTTCACTGGGGAGAAATTTCTAAGCTTCTTGGCAGAATTTGGTATTCGGATAAACCATTCTTCGTCTTATTATCCCCAAGCTAATGGACAAGCAGAGGCGGCCAATAAGATTATTATTGGAATTATAAAGAAGACGGTTGAAGGGAATCCAAGAAAGTGGCATTTACTGTTACCTCAGGCCTTATGGGCACACATGAATAGTAGAAGTTCGGCCATAGGATTTTCACCATATCAACTTACTTTTGGGCAAGATGTTGTGCTACCAGCCGAAATTCAGGTATCATCTGGACGTACAAGTTTTACTACTAGAGAGCTTACTGAGGAATATCAGCAAGTTATATTTGTAGCAATTGGAAAGTCAGGATGTCAACCGACTTCATGCGATCGATCAGATTGTAAAACATAATGGAATCAGGGCAAAGTCTTTTATGGATAGAAGGTCTTTTATAAGACTTTTAAAGAAGGAGATTTTGTTTGGAAGACCATTCTTCCTACATACAAGAAGATTGATCAATTAGGAAACTGCTCTCCAAATTGGGATGGGCCATTTATTATTCAAAAGGAGATTGGAAATGGTGCCTTTATTATAATAAATCAAGAAAGGAAAACAGTACATGATTGTATTAATGCTAGATATCTGAAGAGGTATTTTCCTGCCTTTTCAAGAATGCATGAAACAAGAATTTTTATTCAGAACCCAAAACAGAGGGGGTTCGGACCCAAAGTGGGGTTCATTCATTATCAGACATTGATATATGCGGGGGACTTCCTTTGTCTGAGTCAGAATCTTCATCCCAGTGACTAGAAATTAATTCTGGTTCCTCATCAAGAAGGTCTTCTAAACCAGGTCGGTATTTTTCCCATTGATTATGCATTTCTTCTAAGTCGTGATTAGTACGAGCTTGCATGTCTGTTATGGCCTTTCGTTCACGATCAACAAGAGTGCGTAGTCTTGAAAAGACTGTACGCTGATTGGAAAATATATGATCCCAACCAAGGTCTGGAAGTATGGCTGTCACGTGATGTTCAATTAGGTCCATATGGTGATTGATATCAGGAAGGCGGCTTAGGATGTCACGAAGAGTTTCATATCCTCCCATAATGTTTTCCATCACGCGAATAACACGATGAATGGTCTTTCTTCCTCGTTGGGAAAATCTGAATTTGAAATCCAGTTGTTTGAGTATGTGTAACAAGTCTTCAGCATGGCCACCGACGGGATGGTTACCCACGAAGAAAGGTTGAAGGACACCTTCCCAATTTTTTGAAGGAACATGGGGTCGGTTGTGTGAAATTTTTAATAAATACTTCAGGTATGCTCAAAGTTCAAATCGTTTCTTAAAGATTGTGTATTTTATTACAAGGGGGCAATGATTTTTATAAAGAAAATAAGTTTGATTTGGTCATTGGAGATTCGGAGTACAGAAAGCGATCCTTATCGATGGGGAAACAAAAAATGTTTACCAAGTCAGAAGGGGAGATCTCTTCTATTCCATGCAAGGGACCTCTTGGTTGGGCGGCCGCAGATGGTTCCACTGCCCGTCTTACCACCTCTGGATTAGGGACGGCTGCCCTCGGGAAGGCTGCGCGTGGGGCGGCCGTAGCCGGTTCATCGGGCGCGACTTGGACGGCCGCAGCTGGGACACTTCCAGCAGTTGGGCCGACCGCACCTGAGACATCTCTGGCAATTGGAACGGCCGCAAAAGGTGCGATTGGTTCTTCACCAATAAAGGACGAGCCCAAAGCCGCAACTGACAGTCTGCCCATATGCGAAGCAGTTGCTTCGCTATGATAGAGACCCAGGGTTGGCTTATACAAAGGAGAATTTCAAGATTTTAAGTATGTAAATAGGACGGGTGAGAGAAGGGTTTTTACTAAGCCCCACGATATGACATGAAATAGTGTCAGGATGGCACTGTACTACAAACTCCTAAACGTCACAAGAAGTAACGCTTAGGAGTCGGGCAGGAGGAGGCTAGTTGTTGAGTAAAAAATAATAATAATAATAATAATAATAACGTATAGGGTTTATAAATTGGATTGATCTATAGTCCAATGGGCCTGATAATGGTAGCAGGGTCTTAAAGGAGGTCGGACAAGATAAGGTCGGGCGAAGAACGATGAGACAGCCGATACGGAGGTCGGTCAAAAGAGGAAGTCGGGGGAAGAAGGATGAGACGCCCGATATGGAGGTTGGTCAAAAGAGGAAGCCGGGCAAAGAAAGATGAGACGGACGATACGGAGGTCGGTCAAAAGAGGAAGTCGGGCGAAGAAGGATGATACGGCCGATACGGAGGTCGATAAAAAGAGGAAGTTGGGCGAAGAAGGATAAGATGGCCGATACGGAGGTCGGTCAAAAAAAGAAGTCGGGTGAAGAAAGATGAGACGGCCGATACAGATGGCCGATACGGAGGTCGGTTAAAAGAGGAAGTCGGGCGAAGAAAGATGAGACGGCCGATATGGAGGTCGGTCAAAAGAGGAAGTCGGACGAAGAAGGATGAGACGGCCGATACGGAGGTCGGTCAAAAGGAGGTCGGACAAAGGGAAAGGTCTATTACTTGGTTGTTTAATTAGGTGGCTTGTTAATCGTTTGATCGGTTGGCCGGTCATTTGGTCAAACAGTAGTTCAGTCGCTTGAGATGGCGGTCAGTTGGTCGCTTGATGGAGCGACCGATGAGCCGTCCGGACGAATGGTTGTTCAGCCAATTGAAGGGACTGGATGGAAGTTGCTTGAATGGGCAACTGATTAGTCGTTTGGTCTAGCGACCAGTTAGTATCTAGATTGGTCGATTGGTCAAAATCCGATGGCAGCGGGGCAAGTTGTTACGTACGAAATATGTGGGCCCGTCTCTGGGTTCATCGGGTGGCTAAGGGATTTCTCGAGACAGTCGGTCAGTCTGCAGTCCGTGTAAAGTTTGCTGGGCGGTTGAGTGATCGTTCGGGACCAGCTGTCATTTAAGGAGGTAAAGTGCCAGGAGATGGTCGGTCGAATCAATTGGGTTCGGTAATTGATGGGAGCGGTTGGTGAAACAGTTAAAACACGTGTCAATGGAGGAGAAATTAGAGGGCGATTAACAGCAGTTGCTATAACCAACCAGACGGCGTTTTGAAACGTTTCCTAAGGAATATTTAAACATTCAGGTCCCTCTTGGGAAAGGGATCTTCAATCTTCAATCGATTTCAAATTCAGTGAATTATTTTTGAGGATCACCATTTACTTTTTCAGTCTGTAGTATTTATTTTACTAGTTTACTTATGTATTGTACGGTGTCTAAAAATTTTTAATCTCAGACATTTATTTTATCAAATTCGAAAATAATCTCTATTTTCGAATTTTACTTTCTATTGTTGTTATTGTTGAAAAAATCTATCAACTCCTACTCTTCTTTTGCATCTTCCATCATTTCCATAATTCCATCCATTTTAAAATTCACACACGAGAACTCGTCCACTCGCCCCGAAAGTTTTCTTGAGATAGTATGAAAATATAATCCTGTTTTTCCTTCATCCTGGCAGCAAAAGGATCGAAAATTTGAGGGACAACAACATTCTAATGCTACTTTACCATAGGTGTTGGCTTATAAATGATAATGCAAGAATTGAAAGCAATTTAAGCTAAGGGTGAGAAGCAATTATATTAATTATTCGGTCCTGAACAACGTAACCAACCATCTTTGCATATAATATCATAGCATATATATATAGCATAGTATAGCATTCCTCGTTACAGAAGAAGCTAGTGGTAAATGCTATATATTCTCATTCTCTACAGAAGCAACGTATATACCTCCAAATGCAAAACTAACTAAAGCAACAAACCAATTAGTTTAGTTTAATTAATACATCTTCCCCTGGGGCATTCTTTGCATCTTGGCACAGTACTCGAACAGACTACCATCGTAGCAGCGCCGGATGGCCTCTTTCGGGAGACAGCCGCCTTCATCCCGAGCAAGGACATACAGAATAGCCCATTCCCCCTTGTTTGCAATCCTGCATGCAGCAGGTAATTCCATCAACAGATTAATTAGGATCGATTGCATATATGATGATACAAATTACCATATATAAATTAATAGTATAAATTAAAGAATGATTTGACTATATTATATATTCAATTCACTTCACTTGAGATATATATACCAGCCAAAGATATCAAATGCATCTCTATTGCCTTCCGTCATCTGCCACAGCTCCCGCAAAGTAAGCTTGTCGGGGAATGTCCGTGCATACTTGCTGAACATGTTCTCGAAATTCACCGGAGAATACCTGAGCGCAGCGCAGATCCAGTTAATTAATTAATATAATATGGCCAGATTCAGAGGACTGCTTCACATGATCAATTCGACATGATACGCACCTTCCTTCGTTGTCATAAGTTCCAGAATCGCTTCCATGCTTCGCCCTATGGACATTGTACAGGTATATAGGGAACAAAGGAGAAGGAATCCAACCCTGTTACGAGTTACAGACCAATTAAAATTTGATTTGTATTTGAGGTATGATCGATAGTCATCGGACAATGTCGAAAAAATGCTAAAACTATAAAAAACCTAAGTAAATAAATAAATCGAAAACTGTAACGGGTTGCTCACCGGGAGGGTGGGATAGCTCAAACCCACATTAATAAAAATGGCCAATAAAAGAGACGCAAACATATTGAACCCAACTTGGCGTAGGCCTGTACGTACATGGAATCAAATCGCATGTATATATTTTCAATGATACTAAGCTAGGTAGGGTAGGACGAACCAGCATAAGTCTCCCATGGATAGATTATTCCGTCATCGTTCTGATCAAAGAAAGCACAGTGTTGCTGCAGCACGCTCAAATTATGATGCATGTGCCCGGGAGTTCCGTACGGATGATCCATGTCGGCTGCAACCAGCCCTCTCGCCATATCTTAATTAATTAATTAATTGGTGATTTAGTCAAGTGTATCCATATAGATATATTCTAGGAGGAGTAGCATGCAACAAGCTAGGAATATAACTCACAGGGCTTGGGAATTGAATTTTCCAAATCAGTCCGCACTGGGCGGTCCATGGTCACCGGAGCAAGCGGTGCCACCGGCGAGAGCTCAGGGCTTCTTCCCACCGTAGCACCATCCACAATCATCGCCATCTCTCTACCCGCTCGCTCGCTTTTGTCACCGGAAGCTTCTCGATCCGTCACCGACTAGGACAAGGCGATATACATATATATCTATACAAACGCACGTGGAGGTTATATGAATCCGCACGTGGCAGACATGCAGAGGAGCAGTTGCACGGCTCCATTGCTAACACTTTGACACGTACACACCATTTTGTTTTCTATTCCTGTATCCAACAACATGTTTTATAATCCACACGGGCGGCATGCATGTACTGCGTCGTTGCGGTGGGGATGTATTTGTTTTCGCATATGCTTTGAGGACATTTTACTCCTTAAACCAAAGATTTTCAAAAGTTTGGAAATTTTGAAAATTTAAAAATATAAAAAATTTATTTTAATACCATATTTTACAAAAATATTAATAATATTAAAATTTTAAAAATTATTATTTAAACAAATATTTGAAAAATTTGTATTTGTTTAGTGAAATTACTTGAAAAGATATTTATATGTGAGGTATAAAAAATTATATAAATAATATATATAAAAATAATAAATATGTGGAATATATTAGTTTTTGGAAAAATATATTTTTGAAAAATTGTGGTAAAATTGATAGCTGATAATAATAATAAAATAGAAGGAAACCAATTAGAGTTTTTACTGACATTTATTGGTCCACTCAAAAATAAATAATAGTATTCAATTATTTTATGTAAATATTAGAGTGAGAATAAGTCTTGGATTAATAAATTCTTGTACACTTATTTAAAAAGGCTAACTTCCGAAGCGTAGTAAGATCACAGTTATAACGACAACTTGTTAATGAAATAAATGCAGAGACCAAAGCAATAAATGACAAGTTATTTGTTTACCCGGTTCGGATATAAACCATCCTACATCCGGGGATACCAATCCAGGAGAGGTTCATTAATCAATGCTGATTAAGAACAAAAATACCCAAATCTCCTTCAACTCAAACTACAAGTTGATTACCTAGGAAATTCCCTCCACAGACATACGTTGTCACAAACGCATACTGACAACTAACACATAGCTGGCAACTCAAATTCTGAATGTTCTCCTGATCGCAACTCCGATCTCCCTTCGACCAACGAACTTCTCCGGCAAAATAATAGTGTATAACACTCACTCAAAGCATTGAGATGGGAAGGGGAGAGGTTGAGAGGATTGATACAATATTTCTCTCACTATACACTCTCTCAAAACCACTTCTCTGCTCACCTTTCTATCAACCGAGCTGTAAGTCCACCGCAGCATGGAGTTGACATGCAATTAATCTCTTGATACAAATAAGGTATGTGTGTATCTAATCACTTCTGATCACAAGAGGACAAATTCAAAATGTTCATTTAAAAAGACAACTTGATTGGACTTCACAAGCTGAGTCAAATGTTGTTGTTTTTGGTAACTAACGACCACAGCAGCAAAAAAAGAATTTTGTCAATATGCCAAAAATAGATAAAAGAGATTTTAATCAACTTAACAATGATAAAATTACATATTTATAATTTAAATTTTATCACATAAATATATAATATATTTTAAATAATATTAATCAAGTTACTTCAAAAGTTTTAAGTTTATTTCATAGCAGTGTTTTGGACTTCAAAATTCTGAATTTATGTTATATTTAACATTCTTAATATTTGTGAAGTACTAAAATTTTAATTTATTCTAAAGCCAGTTTTGTGGGTCTTACAATTTTCAAAACTCAATCAAATATAATATTTTTGATATTTAATAAAATATACGAGAGTAAAATTTTATCTCATTCAATATCATAATTATTAATTTTAATTTCATTAAAACTTTTGTTTTAATCAATTTTAGTTTCGTTAGGAACCCAAAATTAATAATTATGATAATAATTATCAATTTTTCCCTTTAGCTTAAAAATATAACAATTTTTTATTAAAAGAATATATTACAAAATTTTAAAAATAAAAAAATTTCAAATATATTCCAAATTAGTATTATGACTTTCAAATGAAACTATAATACTACAATTATTTTTTATTAATTTTAGTATCCCAAATTTCCGAATCCGTTCAAATATCTGAACTGTATTCTATTTCTTTTAATTAATATTATTATTCTTTGATTAGTGTTTAATAATTTAAATTAAAATTATTTTTAAGAAAATAAAAGGTAATTATAATACTATAGAAACACACAACTACTAACATTACTTATTGCTTTCCATATTCTTCTTTGTTTCCTTATTCCTTTCTTTTTCTTCTCTCACCCTTCTCCATTCTCCTTCTTCTTCCTATTTCTCTTCTTTCATCTTCTTCTTTTCTAGACGAATACGTCGTCACTGCCGCTCATTCATCTTCGCTTCCTTCTTCCTTTTTCCTCTCTTCTTCTTCTTTCTGTTCTTTCTCTTCCTTTTTTTCTTTTTTTTTTTTCATTTCCTTCCTCCTCAGTTTTGTCATTTTTCTCCATTTTCTTCTTCCTCCTCCTTTTCCTTCTTCTTCTTTGTCTCCTATTCTTTTGCGCATTCATTTCATTCTTCTTCTTTCTCATTTTCTCTGTATCTTTCTCATTCAAGGCAGTCGGGCATTAACATTTGAATTTGTAATTTTTATTTTGAATTTGAATACATTAACTGTGATTTTTGGTTAGGAATTTGAAATTTCTCAATGGTGGAAGCGGAGGGTGCCAGGCAGGGCCGTCTCGAACTTATTTTGAGCCCTAAGCAAAAATAAAATATAGGACCTATAAATACATAATTAAAATATATTTTAAAAATAATACCACTGACATTGGTGTCGACTGAACAAAAGTTTGAAGACGGTCTGACATTGTCGATTTGAGAAAAGAATATCAAATGTGGATTGTCTGGATGTTCGAAAAGTGAGAAGGACTGAGGGAGAGTGAAAGAAAGAGAATGTGAGGCGGGTTTGGTTTGAGTGAGTGAGTGGATGCATTGGGGGAGAGTGTGAAGGAGAGAAGTGCAAGCGACCATTCAATTTGGAAAGAAAGAGTAAGATATGGTTAGGAAGTAGAGATAGAAAATAATATATGATTAAAGTTTAAAATTTTATTTTAAAATTAAATTGGATACTTATAAAGAAGAAGAAAATATAAACTAAAAGTGAAAATGTAATTTTAAAATTTAAAATTTAATAATAATAATAATGAGTAACATTTTAAAATTTGGACCCTTTTTTAATTAGAGTTCCTGAGTAGTTGCTCACCCTACTCCTGCTAAGAGCCGCCTCTGATGCCAGGTACTTCACCGGGAGGATGCTTCATGAGCTGTTTGAGAAGGGGCTGGCTGGAGGACGTTCCATAGCTAGGAAATCATAATATTTCCGAAGCCATAATCGCCGAAAAATTTCTCTAGCAACCCTATTAAGGATTGATTTTTTAAAACTATTTTGAGAATTGATTCAGAAAGTAAAAACTAAAAATAAAAATATATCCTTTTGGATTCTAGACCCACACGCTTCGTCCTTGGACCTATTTGGAGATGGCATCGGAAATTCCAAGCCTTCTTTCGTTTCCTTCGGAAGATCCGGGACTCTTTAAAATAGCTTCAAAAATTCTGAATCCAATTGAATGGAAACAAGTTCCTCTTGTTGGTTACCTTTCTGATGCTAATCTTAAGTTTTTTAATTGTCTCAAAACCTCTTTAACATCAAAACCAAATTTCTGAACCAAATAAATTTTTTTTTTGAAAGTGATAATTTTAGTAAAATATTACACTACAAAAAAAAATTCTGTCACAACTGACAAAATTTTCATCACAATTCCTGTCATGGACCGAAATTGATCAACTACACAATACACGGAATAAACTAACTAAACGGAACTAACTAATAAACAACGAGAAAGAACAAACAACTAAACAAAACTAATTAAGCAAGAAGAACGAATTAACTAAACATAATGAATAAAGTAAGGAAAAAAGATAATCGAAAGAGAAGCAAACCTAAGTAAGTACTAACGTAAGTACAACCTGATAACCTTCTAGCATTGAACCATCCTCTACGAAGGCACCACCTCGGTCGACACTTTGGGGAGCTCTTCCCCCTTCCCCAAATGCCACGAACTTGAGGCTTTATACTCAAACCCGAATTTTGGAACTAAACCCCATGGAGGATGCAATATAATTGTATTCCATGAAATATTAGACTAAAAGAGAAAATATTGCTATCAAGCATAACTTTCCATAAAGGAAATTATCATAAATGATCAAATATTCATTAAAATATATTTAGTTGGTGTGTTTTATAAAGAACCCAAAGGGACTTATTTATAGGAGTGGGAAAGGGGGATAGTGAATATGTTTTCCAAGGTGGGATAAATATAATATCCCAATGAGTGAGAACAAAGCCTAATGGTCCCCCCCCATGCATGTCAGAAGCAAGTGACATTCTCTATTATATATATGTATGTCCTAAGAGATGGTCCCCCCACTTATGCATATGCAATGCAACTTTAATGTAAATTACATATTAAACCCTCTATTTTAGCATACTTCTAGGTTTGTACAACTTGTCCGTTATTTTTTCCATTGAGGTGTTGCAAGCTCCAACATCGGCATCCATCGACAAGTCTTCGGCTATTGCAACATGGCTTTAATTGCTTCTCAACTTTCAAACTTCATCATCAAACCTTGTAATTTGTCAACACATACTTTCTCTCAGGTTCTCGAAGCTCGCTTGATAGGAGGTTTTGGATTTGCGAATCTTGATGTTCGGACATCCATGTCATTCCCTCCCCCTCCAGAAGGTTGAGCCATCAACCATTGTGCGTCCTCATCCGTTCGAACATTGGATGGTAAATCATAAAGAAATTCTAGTAAAGAATTGCATAAAAATAAAAAGCAGCTCCCTTGTTGATCAAAGTCACCTTTTTTTTGCTGAAAATCGGTAAGTGAGAGTAGGATGTTGGAACCCTTATAAGGACCAATTGCGATCGGAACCTTGTCTTGTCTAGTGCATTTCATATCACCACTAGAATGCATCCATGAAAAATGGTGGGAAGATGAATGTTGTAGATTTGGAATCCCATCTGGTCTATCATAAAGCAATTAACAATATCGGTGCAACTTCCAGTATCAACGATCATCGATGCTCGCTTTCCACCAATCTTCCACCAGCAAGGCACAAATTCTCTCAATTCTCCTTAACCCAATCAACAAATAATTCCGACTCATTGGGAATAGCATCAAGCATTCGCAATACCACTAGTGACTCACCCAATAGATCTTCTTCAAGTTTTCTTCATTCACTTGGAAAACTTCATCCTCTCTAGCCTTGACCTCATATTCCCAAATATTACACTCATCATCGGAAAAAAGTACATTTTCTCCATCATCATAATGCGTAGAACCACCTATGTTATCTGAGTCATTGTCTGCATTGCAATGGAGCTCAAGTATATCTTGTACGTGTAGGTCCGCTTAAGTCAGCGCATCGTCCATTTTTCCTCCTAACTCTTCTTTCATCTCTCTTAGAAGTTTACTTTGTTCATTTAATGTAGTTAAGATATCGTCTAAGTAAGCCATACATGCACTAACGCGAACTAATATATATATATATTGAAAATAGTCCTCACAACCCACCCTCTCGTACACTCGTGTATACCTCTCGGCAAATTAGTAGAGTTTCCGAGCTCTTTAAGTGTGCCTTGATGGAGTCATAAAGATGGAACCTGAGTGACGTACACGTTTAAAGTGGACAAGAAACTTTAAACACGACTCAATCAAAGAAAGCATAAGATAATGCCAATCATGCAATGCAAAGAACCAAGCTCGTACATTTATGGACTAATGACCAAAAGCGCACAACACACAAATGTTGGAACTATGCAAGTCAACAACAAACACATTGATTCAGATCTCAAGAACCACAAAATCACCACAAAGACTCGTACCGTTATAAAACGTGTCAAACGAATATGGCAAACACACACTACAAAAAAAATTGGAAATTGCAATGGAATATTGCTACGGAATACAATCTATTGCAAAATTGCAACGAAACTTGCTAGGCAATAAAGAAATAGTCTCAATTGCGATATGTTGTGAGAGAATACTGCAATAGAATAGATTTATCACAAATATTTTTGAAATTACACAAGGAATATAATATTCCGTTGCAAAATTGCGACGGAAATAGCAACATATTAAATTTGTTGCAGATTTCTTAAAAATTATGCAACGAATAAAATATTATGTTGCAAAATTACGATGAAAATAGCAATAGATTAAATCTGTTGCAGATTTTCCAAAAATTACGCAACAAATATAATATTCCTTTGCAAAATTGCGACAGAAATAACAACAAATTAAATTTGTTGCAGAGTTCAAATAAAAAAAATTAATTTTTTAATTTTATAAATAATTTAATAATTATTATTTTTAAAATTTTTAATTTAATTTTTAAAAGTTTAATTTTTAATAATTAATTTTATTTATTTATTAAATATTTTTAATTTTTAATTTTTTTTATATATTTTTATTAATTTTGATTTTTTACCAAATTTGCCATAATTCTCCCTTGCGATACTCACTCGCTAATTCTCACTCGACGCTACTCACTCGCAAACAAGCTTAGATTTGCCCAAACGGTTCAAACCATCGATTACGATTACAAACCGCCGGTTACGGTTTGTCAAAATATCAAACCGAAACTGAACTTTCCGAATGACGGTTTCAGTTACGATTTGATGGTTTCGATTATGTTTATAAACCGCCCATTTATATATAATCATTTTTAATAATTTTCTTTTTTATTTTATATTTTTCTAAAAATTTGAATTTTATTTAAAAATAATTAAGTTTCATTTTAATTTTATTTAGATATATTTATTATATAAAAATGATATATATGAATAATTAATTAAATTATTACAATATAAAAATAATTAAAATAATAAATATAGTAAATAATTAAATTATAAAAATATTATAATAGATAATAAAATAATTTAAATTATATAATAAAAAATTATAAAATATAAAATATAAATAAAAAAATATTAATAGTATTATTATTTTTTAATATTATTAATAATTATTTATATTTATTAATATTATTATTGTTATATTTTAAATTTTAATTATAAATATAATAATATTATTATAATATATACATAATTTAACCCTAATATCTAATGAATACTTAGACATTCACATCCATGCTCCATGGATGCCGCAGCCGCCCTTGCACACAGGTTCTTCTCTTCCTTCGGACGCCGCAGCCGCGCCTGCGCCCGCACACACAGGTTCTCCCTCTTCCTTCCTTCTTCCTCCCATTTCTTTCCTTTCTCCTCCTTTCCTCCTTTCCGCCTTTTTTCTTCTTCTTCTTCTTCTTCTGTTGTGCGCCTGCTTGCCCCTGCCATTTCGTGGGGAATCTTATCTTAATGTCATACAGAGGTTTGTGCAGTAAATTCTTATACAAATACTAGTTACTGTGAATAGCTCAATTATCAAAAAGCTTTGATTATATTCATCTGTTTTTTCTTAAATCTTCAGGTTGGAGCCTGTAATTATCGAGCTTGAACGACAACGCGGTCTAGTTGTGGTGGTATCACACCAGGTAATACATTTCAACACTTGAATAAATTTGCATTGCCAACACACTTCTAACAATATCATATTATTCTTTTTTTGGTGGGATCATAGGCAGTGTTGAGAGCTTTGTATGCTTATTTTGCTGATACTGTTGATTAATCTCTTCCAACTTGCAGGTTTTTTCTGCTTTTGGATTTGTTCAAAAAATAACCACTTTTGAGAAGATAGCTGATTTCCAAGTGGGGTATCTTGTAGACTGATTTGTTTTAGAATGGTATTGTTTTTTTGGGTAATTAGTGATCTCTGTTGTTCACTATATCCTTGTTCTTCACTCATCAGGCTCTGGTGCAATTTCCTGATTCAGAGACTACCTTTTCTGCGAAGGATGCTCTTGATGGAAGAAGCATTTCAAGGTGATCTGGATTTTAATATTTGGCTTTGGATATACCCCAACTGTTATCAATACATTGGGATTCGGCATCTTTCAGAAGCTATTCTAAGAATCTGCTGAAGGGGTACATGCATGATCCCTAGCCCACTTCACCTCTCCCCGATTAGTTATTTCTGATAACCTTTACCTTTCATACCTTGGACCACTGTAAATAATGTTATCTTGAATGTTGGGGTGGACCTAGATTGCTACTTCAAATAGATTTTGGGTAGGATAGAGCCCTATCTTCAAATGCATGAGGTTTTTAGTGACTAAAATGACTGATACTAGATGAAATGGTTTTTAAGTTGTGAAAATTGTTCAAGTTCTGATTGGCCACACTGTTCATGTTCAAAAGGATTTAATTGAAGTTATTCCCCATCTACTGGATGCTTAGCATGTTCTTCCCCACTTCAAAAACATCGATAAAAGATCTCAGCTAGTTTCTCCTGATTTCCAAGTTCCTCAATTTTGAGGCTGTGCTACAAACAACTGTTTGAGATCTTCATTCATTCACTGCATTTCCTAAATTTACTGTTTTTCTTTTGATGCTTGTGTTTGATCCAGGTATGTAATTCAAGAGCTGGGGCCATGCTCGCTTAGGATCACATATTCTGCACATACGGGCTTGAGTGTTAAATTCCAAAGTCATCGTAGTAAGTAATTGAGCCTGATTTTAGGATCACATATTCTGCACTTTTTATGTGTATTAGTATTTAGAAATATTCAAATATCTTATTCTATGCATTAATTCAAGGATTATACCAACCCGCTCCTTCCTGTTGCTCCTTCGGCTATGGATGCTAATGGCCAGGTAACAACAAAATGAACTGTTTATTTATTATGAATTATTGTCTCTCTGTTGTCCTAGATGAAAAATTAATGTGATCATGTTGTGTTAACTTCTGAGATTTTACCTATATGGCCCATTGATTTTCACGTTGCTTTTCCTAAATGATATATTCTTTTTCGTAGATCATTCTAGCGTGTGGAGAAATTATCACTTGTTTAAATAGTATATTGCAACATTGATTTCTTGCAATTGTTATAGTTTCCCATTGCTAATTGATGCTCTCTCACATCTAACTTTATTTTGTTCATGCAGGTCAGTTTTGGAGCACCATCCATTCATAGGTCCGAACCCGATTCAGATGGTGGTAGTGCTCCGATATCATGATATTTTATCATTACAAGTGTTTTAGTTACGACCTTAGTTCTTTTGGTATGATATTATGGTAACTTGAATTAGATTTATACATTTTTCTAATATGTGTTACTTGCGGTACTCATACTAAATACATTGTGTTTTTGGTCTATTGATAGTGTTTAAATTTGAAAATTTTATATGATTTCAACTAGTTCTTGTATCTTTGATAAGATATATTAATCGAATCATTAAATTTATTGATTATGGAGGATTGAATTAATATTTTTGAGATAGATATTGAAAAAAAAATTAACAAGAAATGAACAAAAGAAATTGTAAAAATTGCGACGGAATTAACAATAGTTATATTCTCTCGCAATTTGCTATTCTATTTGCAACGGATCTTGCAACATATATATTCTTTTTTAAAATGCGTTGCAAAAACTTGCAACAGAATTAGCCACAGATCTTTTCCATTACATTGCACTATGATAGAAATATATTTCTGTAGTAAAATTCCGTAACAAAATATTGCGATAGAAATGACTGTCACTAATTCTATTGCAATTCTCTGCAACGGAAAATTTTAATTGTCACATTGGGTTACTACAATAATATTTACTACAACTTCCACTTGGTCGCAAGTTTCGTTGCAATTGAAAGTTTTGACAGAAATTTTGTCAGTTGTGACGAAATTTTTCGTAGTAATTTGTAATTTTTTTTGTAGTGACAAAATCTTGCCAAACTCGAAACCTCAAAACTGAATAACCAGATGTCAATTACAAATTCACAAAAACTAATTAATATATGTTCTTCTCCACTTCACAAGATTTCCAATGACATATCATATGAAAAAAACGGAGCTAGTATGAGAAAATTACAACTCAAACAAGATTACCGACAAAATTGCCCTAATCCTCCCGCTCAATTTTTTTTTTTATATCTTGGTTTTTTTCTTTTTTACTTTTTCATGGAATGCAAGGCCTAGGCAAAAAAATATATTAACAATAACTCTTTACACTTCCCAAATAACATCCAACTCAAAATTAATTCAACCTCACTTTAACAACAATGAACTCAACAACCCGCAAACTTCCAAAACGCAAACAAAAGCAAACTTGCAAAACTCAAACAAGAACAAACTCGCAAAACTCAAACAAGAGCATGAAGTGTACAATTAAAATCACTCTTCAACAAATTCACAAGTTTGAGTTCATTTAATGCATATGAATGTGAATGTATGGTACATGATGTACACTAGGAAGCCTAGAGGATCAAATCATCTACAATAGAAGGCCAAACAAAGACAAAACTTGAGATCAAATTTATGTCAAGGATATGCAATAAAAAGCTCAACTAAGAACCTAGAAGAATGAATTAAAAAGAGAAGATATCGAGGGAATATTTTTTTGGAATTTTTGAAATAAAGATAGTGTAAATTGATCAAACTACTATGATACCAAAATTAAATAATATATGTCGTGGATCGAAATTGATCAACTACACAAGACACGGAATAAACTAACTAAATGGAACTAACTAATAAACAACGAGAAGGAACAAACAACTAAACAAAACTAATTAAGCAAGAAAAGAACGAATTAACTACACATAATAAATAAAGTAAGGAAAAAAGATAATCGAAAGAGAAGCAAATCTAAGTAAGTACTAACATAAGTACAACTCGATAACCTTCTAGCATCAAACCATCATCTACGAAGGCACCACCTCCGTCGACACTTTGGAGAGCTCTTCCCCTTTCCCCAAATGCCACAAACTTAAGGCTTTATACTCAAACCCGAATTTTGGAACTAAACCCCATGGAGCATGCAATGGAATTGTATTCCATGAAATATTAGACTAAAAGAGAAAATATTGGTATCAAGCATAACTTTCCATAAAAGGAAATGATCATAAATGATCAAATATTCACTAAAATATATTTGCTTGGTGTGTTTTTGACACAACCCAAGTAACTAAACTATACTAGTCGAAACTTAAAATTAAATTCAAATGAAAACTAAGTAAATAAAGAGAGATATTACCGTTGTCTGATTCATTGATCAATCGGATGTGAACCTAAGTGTTGCCTAAAACCAACACCTCTAAACCAATGGAGACTCGAAAGATTTGGCTAGAAACTCCGGTCAGTTTCGTAAGCCACGAACCCAAGGAATCAACCCAAGGACCGATTTGAGAATGATACGCGTTTGAAAGGGAAACCCTCACTCACACACTAATTCCAATATAATGGAATGAAGAAGAAAAATTTAATTGATATAAGTTTCAAGATGTCTTATAGGGGGAGGCTAGCTAGGAAAAAGACTCTACAACCAATATGGCACAAAAGTACACATTATTTAAAGCCCACTAATTTAAAAAAAGGTAAAATTGCTCATAACTCTCCCATGGTTTCGAAATTCAACGTAAAATCTCCCTGTACTTTAAAAATTGCATGACACCCTCTTATACTTTAAAAAATATTTCATGAAACCCCACCACCATGTAACCTTCCTTGTGTGATTTGAAGATAATTTCCTATCTATATGTTTTGTATAGAGGGGGGGGGGGGATTTCATGCAATATTTTTTGAAAGTATAAAGAGGCGCCATGCAATTTTTAAAAGTAAAGTGGAGATTTACGTTGAGTTTCAAAACCACAAAGGACCAAAAGACATTGATTGAATTGATCAATTACACAAGAGACAGAATAAACTACTAAGCATAATTAACTAATAAAGCAAGAAAAACGAACAAGCTACTAAACGGAACTAATTACGCAAGGAAAAGAACGAATTAACTAAACAAAATGAATAAAGCAAGAAAAAAAGGATAATTAAAAGAGAAGCAAACCTAAGTAAGTACTAACGTAAGCATGACCTGATACTCTTCTAGCATCGAACCATCCTCCATGAAGGCCCCACATCGGTCGACACTTTGAAGAGCTCATCCACCTTCCCCAAATGCGACAAACTTGACGCTTTATACTCAAAGCTGAATTATGAAACTAAATCCCATGGAGCATGCAATGGAATTGCATTCTATGAGGGGCTTACCAAGGACCGTGAAATTTGAGCGCGTGTGTAAGACGGAGAGGTACATTACATGGGTATACACAAGAGGGTGAGGAAATCATTTATCTAACCATCTACATATATATTTCCACTATATTTTTCTATGGCAGGTGAGAAAAGTGACGAGGAACCTGATTTGACCCCAAAATGTTCGTGAAGGATATGATGGCGGAAGTGCAAAGGGTACTTCGACATGAGGTTAAGGGACTTCATGCCCAAATAAATAAGTTGGAAACTTCAAGGGTTGAAGGGAATGCAGCCCCTCCACACCCACACAATGGCATTCCACCTTTAGGATGATGACATCCCGGGAATGCTCCAAGGCATGAACGAGTTTGTGATCTTCTAGAAGATGGTCGTGATGTGACTGAGTATGAAGGAGTAGTGGAGGGCAATGTTCCCTTTCGAGCACGACGGGGGGCACATAGGAGGGATGACAATGATCCAATTCGCTCTATAAAATTCCAAATCCCAGTCTTATACGGGAAATATGATTCAGAAGCATATTTTGAGTTGGAGCTGAAGATTGAGCTGATCTTCAATTGTGAAGATTTTGATGGTCCATAAAAAGTCCGAGCTGCAGTTTCCGAGTTCAAATATTACGCCGTTCATAGTGGGACAACATTTACATCAATCGGAGGCGAGGTGGAGCACCGATGATTCAAACATAGGAGGAGTTGACACGTGTTGTGCGAGCTAAAGTTGTGACGAGTTCATATACACAAGAATTGCATGTTCGACTGCAATCGATGGAGCAACGAAATAGGACAGTTGGTGAGTTCTACAGGGATTTGGAGGTGACTTTAGTGTGGGCTGATGTTCGAGAGAGTAAACAAGCCACGGTAGCGAGGATCTTGACTGGGTTGAATCGAGACATTGCTGACAAAGTGGGATTGTATCAGTTTGATAATATTGATGAATTGGTGAAACATGCCATTACAATTGAAAAGTAATTGAAGCATAAGGGCAAACAACAAACATTTGGTACGAAGCCCTTCACACAAAATTATACCAAGAAGGTTGACAAATCCCAAGTGGCCTAAGGTTTCGGTAAAGAAAAAATTGTTATCAGGGATGACACGCCAAGGAACAAACATGTTGCAGCTGATCTGGAAAAGCTGAGGAGTCAAGATATCATTTGCTTCAAGTGTTAAGGTCGACGCTACATTTTAAGTCAATGCCCAAACAAGAAAACGATGATCCTCAACAAGTTTAGGAAATACGAGACGGACTTTGAAAATGAGGAGGGGGTTGATCAAAGAGCATATGAGGAAAATAACACAAATGATGATTCCGATTCCAATGTTGGTTTAATTTTGGTTACTTTATGAGCCTTAACACCATGTCAAGGACCTTTGATGAGGATCAACGAGAAAATCTCTTTCAAACTCGTTGTACAATTGGAGGGAAAGTGTGTTGCCTCATTATTGATAATGGGATCTGCACAAAATATTGTAAGTGAACTTGTTGTTCAAAAATTGAATTTACTGACAACACCCCACCCCAAACCATTCAAATTGCAGTGGGTTAGCAATTGCAAATAGTTGAATGTTAACAAGAATGTGACGTTTCCTATCAAGATCCAGAATTATGTGGATGAAGTCGTGTGTGATGTGCTACCAATGCAAGCTTGTCACGTATTACTTGGGAGGCCATGAAAGTTTGATAGAAAGGCTCATCATGATGGTTATTTGAATAGATACTTATTTAAGTTTGGGAATATTTGCTCAACTCTACATATATCGTGAATTTGTGGAAGAAGTCAAAGAAAAAATAGAAAGGAAAAAGAGTGAAAAAAATAAGAGTGAAAAAAGTGAGAATGAGAGAGAAAAAAACAAGAGCGAAAAAAATAAGAGTGACAAAAGTGAGTAAATAAGTGAACAACATAAGAGTTAGATTGAAAGAAAAATGCTTGTGAGCGTAAGAGAGGCAAAAAATTTGAAAGTTCACGAGGTAAGTTCTTATTTACTTTTGTTTAAACCTGTTTATTTGTCTAAGCAAGAGCTAATGGAACTCCTTTCCAATGTTGCTTCTCTTTTGCAGGAAT